TTGGCTTCCTCATTTCCAAAACAGCGATGACAATACCACTTACCACATTATTGGGGCAATAAAACAGGCCAATACACAGAAATGCTCAATAAATAGAAGCTATCTATAAATCATCATGGCAATTGAACTTGAATCTGCCCTTAACAACTTCCAAGTTCAATCAGCCTTTGATTAAATGTCTCTGGGAATAAGACACTTGTGCCATCCTGATATGATTTGGCTCTATGTCCCACTCAAATCTCATCTCGAATTGTAATACCTACATGCCAAGGGAGGGTCCTGAGGGGAGGTGATTGGATCATGGGGGCGGTTTCCCCCATGCTGTTCTCATGATAGTGAGGTCTCAGGAAATCTGATAGTTTTATAAGGGGCTCTTCCCCCTTTGCTGTCTCTCTCCTTCCTGCCGCCTTGTGAAGGTGTCTTGCTTCCTCTTCACCTTCTGCCATGATTGTAAGTTTCCTAAGGCCTCCCAAGCCATGCAGAACTGTGAGTCAATTAAAACTTCTTTGTTCGTTAATTGCCAGTTTTGGGCACTTCTTTTTGTTTTTTATTTTTCTTTTTTTTGAGCGGCGGGTACTTCTTTATAGCAGTGTGAAAACTGACTAATACACATCTCAATGGTAACATAGTCAGGGCAGTGAGAGAATGGGGGATTATCTTTACTTCTTCCAAAAAGAATATATCTAAGAATGAAGCTAAAAAACAAAAGGTAAAACAAAAAGCAAAACAAAACGAACTCCAGAATATCAAGTAACTATATTTGGAGAAGGTGAGTGAACTTTGAGATAAAGCAGACTGTGTTTGCATCCTTTCTCCAGCATACAAGAGTGATCTTAAGCAAACTAAGCTCTCTAAACCTTAATCTTCTCATCTGTAACACATGGTTGTTAGCACCTATATCATGAGACTATGTAAAGGATAGCTGCGATCATGTATAGTATGCCTTCAGAACAATGCCTGGCCTAGAGTAGGCAATAACTGATAGTTATTATGTATTGTCACAATTAGGCAGTAGTACAAGTGGAGACAGAAAACAATGAAAAACACATACAGTATACATGAGTTTGTCAATTCTAGACATCATAATCATGAATGGTGGTATGGAATTAAACATCCCTTTTCTACGTGTTCAGCCCAATGAATTTGGCTTCTTAAAGGTGTACCACCAGGTAAGATGATAAAAAATAACAGGGATTTAAAAATGCATAATTGGCCAGATGTGGTGGCTCACGCCTATAATCCCAGCACTTTGGGAGGCCGAGGCAGGTAGATCATGAGGTCAGGAGTTCAAGACCATCTTTGTCAACATGGTAAAGCCCCATCTCTACTAAAAATATATAAATCAGCTGGATGTGGTGGCACACACCTGTAGTCCCAGCTACTTGGGAGTCTGAGGCAGGAGAATCACTTGAACCTGGGAGGGAGAGGTTGCAGTGAGCCAAGATTGTGCCACTGCACTCCAGCCTGGCAAAGAGCAAGACTCCGTCTAAAAAAAAAACACAAGAAAATAAAAATCCGGATTTGTGGATTGGGGGTTAGAAGGGCACAAAAGATGAAAAAGTAACAGCCTCTGACTATATTATTTTCCCACCACTTCCTGTCCTAGGACTCAAACCCCATTACTGACGAACTACCACCCCAAATGCTACTAAGGCATCATGAAAAGCAAGACTGGGGCTAGAGGAGGAGGTCAGGTTCATAATTCAGAGCTTCATGGGGGAGGAATGGATGCCAGGGCCAGACATCTATCCAGCCATTCAAGCACACAGGGACCTGCGAGGTCTGAAACCCACCTGCCTGCATGCTTCTGGACATCAGAATACGCAGCAAGCCCACTCTTTCTGTAGGTGCTGTGCATTGGTGTGGCACAATCATTATTCCAAATACCCAGACCAGTACTCAGGGCACAGCCGTGGTCCTGGGGTAAACTTAAGATCCTTTGCTTTTTTCTAGAAATTTAATTGTTCTCAACAACTTGGTATACAAACTGAAATACTTTACTAAGATAAAGCAAAAGGATAATAAAATGATCATTAAGACACTTTGTGTTTCCAGTATACATGCTCTGTCCCTAGGCCATGAAGATGGTGCCGCAGGGCACACACTGGAGCTGCTTTTCAACCACAGTGACTTTTTTGGCCCTGTTTTCTCTATAACCTGTCACTCGCTCCCTCTTGCCAGACAACTGCAAACACATTAAGAGGTCCCAGATTCAGTTCTCAGGGTGAATATCCTCTGTGCAAACCTAAGTGCCCTGAGTGGGAAGAAACTACATTCTTGTCCACATTCTAACCAAAATGAAACCAAAGGCCATTCATTAGAAAAACATCCATCTCTTCTCCTGATCTCTCTCAAATTAAAGATAACCAAAGTTAGAATTGGAGCATTTGGTGAAAATGAAAAGCTGCCTAAATTTCTCTCAAGTGTCCTAGCACTTTCACTTTTGGAAATGAATATTTAGAAAGGTTTAAGAATATCTTTCTTACACATTTCTCTCTCCTTCCTTCCCAAATGACTGCCTCTTCATTTATGAGCGAGAGTGTGTTGAAGGGGCTATCGCCTAAGAACCTAGCATCCTCAAGCACATTCCTAACTCAGTTCTTCATCTTTGGGCACTGATTTTCCCCAGAGGTAGGAAAGGGATGATTACCTACATTGTCCAGCAATACTGATTAAGAACGATACCTAGGTGGGATGCATTAGGTCAAGTCAGCCAATAATGACTCAATCCTTTGTAGAAAGACAGAGAAGGCAAATGCTACAAATAGCTTCTGCCTCTAGATGGGTGGAAAATAACGCAGAACAAGACATGAGGTGTGACCAAGGACTGAGGGAATTCCCTTTCCTGGGAACTCTTCAAAGACAAAACAGCTGCTCATTTTTTTAATTGTCTAAATATGTCTGTGGCTAGTTTTTACAGGCTGCCTCCTCTCTGGAATGTTTGGGAGCCAATCATCCTGAAAAATCAAGATGGGGCATCTATCAGCTGGAGGACAAAAGCAGCAGGAATATACAACCAAATATATAACCAAAAGGCAGTGTACACAACCAAAATCGCTTGGCATGTTTGGTGATTTAAGAACAAAAATCCAAACACAAGTGAAGAGAAAGCCAAAGAGAAAAGCAATTTAAGGAAGTATCTCAGGTCTCCACAGTGACCCCCAAATGCTACATAACACTTCACAGACCAACAAAGGGGCAGTGATGTCGCATGCCAAAGGTGACAGCTAATTTTCCCAGCAGGTCTGGAAAACTTTTCCAGGTTCTTCATTATTTTATAGGTTTCAGGCTACCAACTGCCCAGGCCTTTCAGCCTGGTTTCTCCCACCCCACTCTTGTTTTCCCAGCTCCTCCTTATCACCTACTATTGGGATCTCCCTGCTTAAAAGCCATTCTGTCACACAGTGGAGGTTATGGGTTGGGTAATTTGAGCTTCAAAATCAAAGGTATGTGACCATAAAATCTCAGAAGGTAAGAACAGCTACAGGTGCCAAAGGTGAGAAGAGACTCGCCAGCAGCCAGGGAACATATTAAGAGTCTGGAACCTGAAGAGGTGCCTTGCTGAAGGACAAACTCCTGCGTTCACCAGAGAAGAGACCAAGTTGTGTTTCTCTGGCCAGTCAGTAAACTGCAGACAGGGAAGGCTGGGCCAGCTCCTGGAGTGGCTGGCCGGGAAAGTCGTCAGGCTACCGTGGCTGTGACTGAGAGAGGAGCGCAGTGCAACGCAGACTGCAGCACTGGATAACCTGGCCGAGTCCGTCAGGCCGGCGTGTCAGGCAGTCTCTTGAGGAAGGGCAGGGTAAAGAGACAAAGGACACTCTCTGTTCTCACCGCAGAGATGAGGAAGCCGGGGAGGGGTTCCACAGCATGAAACTCTCCCTACCGAGTGGTCACTATAGGAAAGCCAGCCAGCCCTCTCCTAAATGATTCCGTGCGGAGTTGCCTCACCGCAGCAGCACTGCCACCGCAAGCAGGTGTGAGCAATTAGACGAACCTGCCTTAGGAACTGCCATTTGTTCACCTGATTTGGCAGATCTCTTTTTAACCCTCCTCATCCCTAGTGTCTCTCACTCACAGAAGACACAAGTTAACTTAAATGGAGTTTGCGCTGTGCGGGAGATTGGGGGAGGGGAGCAGCTGGAGGAGGTAAGAAGGTGGAAACCTTTTGACCGGAAGATTTTTCTGTTGTTTTTCAGACTAAAAGGAAAAAACAAAGTAGGCAGTAAAGAGGACTGCAGGATACTGCTCATTTTTAGACATCCTGGCATTTTAGGTAAAGAGCAACTGGCAGAACTCAGCCCGATGACAGAAAACGTGTTCACCTGTCAACTGGGGAGGGGGAAAAAAACAAAACCCGAAAAAGATTCACTGAGGTTCAGGAGCCAGAATCCGGGCTCCTAAGCTCCGGGTCTCCTCCTCGCCCTCCTCCCCTGCTCACCCCGCCCCCATGGCCAGGTGGAAACCAGGCAGGTGAACTGCACACGTGTCAACTCCCCGGCGGGGACCCCGGGCCGGCCAGGGGTCCCTCAGGGGACACACCCTTCACCTACCTCAAACATGGGAGAGGCGCCCTTGCTCGGCAACGTGCAGCCCAGGAGCTCGGCGAGAAACTTTGCCATATACGAGCGGTGAGGCAGGGTCCCTCTCGACGCGCCGCTTCTGTCCTATCCCCGCGCCAGAGCCCGAGTGCCGGGATCCTGCCCGCAGCCCGCAGCCCGCAAGCCACCCGGCGCCGTGGCTCGGGGGCTGCCCCGCGGCGGCGGCTGAGCGGCCCGGCCGGGCGGGGAGAGAGCCGCGGCCGCCCGCCCCCGGCGTCCAACGGTGCGAGTGCGCGCAGCCGGGTCCGCAACCAGAGCCTCCGCGCTGCGGGAGCCGGGGCGCCGCCGCCGCCGCGCTAGCCTTTCCCGCTGAATGTCACTATTACCATAGTAAAGGGAAGGGCCCCACCGAGGGGGTGGCGGGCGGGCCGACGGCGCCGCAGGACTGGAGCCGCGCACGGGCAGGGGCCGCCGGCGGGCGCAGCGCCGTGGCGCATTGACCGGCCCGCCCCGCCCCTGGGCAGGGCCGCTCCCGCGACTCGGCCGGGCGGGAGCAGACGCCTGAAGCTCCAGGGGAGAGCTGGCGGCCGGGGCGGGGGAGGGTCTGTGGATGGAGCCGCCGGGCTGACCCACTTCCCCAGTTTTCCCCTCGGCAGCGCTCACGGAGGTGGAAAGGCGGCCGCCTCGCTCCGCTGACTGACTCGGGAGACTCGCTGCAGCCGGGAGCAAGCCGCCCGCAGGGGCTCCCGCACCGGCCGGCGCCGCCCCGCCCTTCCTTTGGAAAAGGAAAAGGCTCCCGAAGCCTCGGAGGAGGAACTCCCCCTCCTGTTCTCACATTATCCCCAAGCCAGTGAATCCGGCAGGCCCAGGTAAGCCCCCAAAAGGGAAAGGTGACTGTAGGCACTAGGGCCTGGGCCGGATACGCTCCAAGATCACAGCTCCCTCCCTGTCCTTAGCTCCGGCAAGAAGAGCCAAGGACCGGCACAGCCAGGTGACTGAGACAGGTGTGGCCCTGTTTTTCCCTCCAAAATGGGAAGGGGAAAAAAAACAAAACCCGAAAAAGATTCACTGAAGTTCAGGAGCGAGAATCCCGGCTCCTGAGCTTGTCTCAAACATGTAAGGCTTGTCTTTTCATTTAAAAAGACATTTTTAGGGCCAGGCCTATATTATGTATTTATTCTGCACCCCCATAGCTGTACATCTCAAGCTTTAACGTGCATATGAATGACATGACCTATAGAGCATGTTTAAAATGAGAGGTCCTGGGCCCCCAACCTATGTTTCTGATCCAGTGATTCTGATTCTGATCCTGGGCCATCTCAGGAGATTCGGACGTAGATGGTACCCCAGGTTGTACTTTGAGAAACATGGCCCTACTATGTAAAAAATGCTGACGTAAACTTATGAAGACTGAGAAAACACTAGATTTGGTGACAGATATGACCGTAGAGAAAGTTGTGTCAAATAACCTGATTTTATTTGCAAAGAAACAGAACTAGAAAAGTTTTTATTACTTCAAGTCATACTGTATCAGTGACACCCAGAGCATGGAGTGGACACTCTATAAATGCCTGTTGGACAGGATGAACAGAAGATGGATGCTGATAAATAGCTGGGTCCCGATTTCGTTAATTGCCATTCCAGAATACTAGCAAATTCACTGTGAATTTAAGGGATAAAAGAGGAAGGAAAGATGTCAAACTAAATTAATTTGAATATGCTATCTCTGTTTCTCAAACTTTTTTGGCTATCTGGTTTTATCTTCTGCATTCTACCCTATGAAATATTCAGGCTTGTTATAAAACAAAAAGACCTACCCCCCCCATGAGTAAAACTAATGCTCTAAGTATGTTATTTTTATTTATTCTCTGTTTTCCAGAACGCTGCCACAACACCAGCTAACCCCCAGCAGCAAAATCAAGAAATGTGGCAGCAAGGTACCCCAGGATGTCCTAAAACTGAAAGAGAAGAAAACTAATGTGTAATAAGTACCTCTGAATGTCTCAGGTACTGTGCCATGGGCTCTGGGGGCAGACTGCCTCCATTTAAATCCCATTTCTGATATTGCTACAGATTGAACATTTTCATTCCCTCCAAAATTCATGTTGAAAGGTAATCCCCAATCCAACAGTGTTGGAGGTGTGGCCTTTGTGCATCATGGGGGCTCCACCCTCATGAATGAGATTGGGTGCCCTTATAAAAGGGGTTCATGAAGGGAGTTCACCCCTCTTGTCCTGTCTTCTGCCATGTAAGGATGCAGTGGCATTTTTCCCTTCCAAAGGATACAACATTCAAGGCACCATCTTGGAAGCAGATAGCAGCCCTCACCAGATGCCAACCTTGATCTTGGACTTCCCAGCCTCTAGAAATGTAAGAAATAAATATCTGTTTTTGTAAATTACTCAGTCTGTGGTATTCTATTATAGCAGCACAAAATTGTCTAAGATATAATTAATAAATGTGACACTTAGAAAAGTGACTTTGCTTCTCTGTACTTCATTTTTCCCATCTGCAAAATGGGTTGAATAATAAAGGCAACTACCACAAGTGGTTTATGTTAGTTTTCCATTGCTATCATAACAAATCACTATTTCGCAGCTTAGGATAATGCCCATTTATTATCTCATAGCTCTGTAGATTAGAATGTGGGTTCAAGTGGGTTCTGTGCTTAGAGTCTCACAAGGTTAAAACCAACCAGGCTGGGCTCTTACCTAGAGTCTCTGGGAAGAAGCCACTTCCAAACTCATTCAGGTTGTTGGGAGAATCTAGTTCCTTGCAGCTGTAAGTCTGAGGTCCTTGTTTCCTTGCTGGCCATCAGCCAAAAGCCACTCTCTGCTTCTAGAAGCTGCCTGGCCTCCTTATGCAGCCCCCTTCATCTTCAAGAAGAAACCTCATTGAGTCCTTCTCATGCTTCAAATCTCTCTGACTTCCTCTTTTGCCAACAGCCAGAGAAAACATTTACCTTTTAAAGGTCTTATGTGATTACATTGGGCCCACCTGGATAATTTTTCTATTCTAAAGCCAGCTGATTAGTCACCTTAGTTGCATCTTCAAAGTTGTTTTTGCCATGTAATATCACAGAAGTAATTCCAGGGTGAAGATCATGAGAGCTACATAGACTCCTGCTTCCTGCATGATTATCTTGAGGAATAAGTAAAGGTGTGTATTTAAAACATTTAGAAAAGTGTTTTATTTTGTGATACCGATAATAAGAACTCAATAAAGATTCGCTATTTCATTTGTCTACACATGGCATTTCATTTGATTGACACAACTCTGTATTATTTTAAAGGGGAGAAACTGAGAATCAATCCAAGACCACACAGAGGGTTAATGGCAGAGCCAGGAATCAAACTTAGAACAGCCATCAATCAAGTCTGTGCTGAGCACTAGGAGGTAGGGCAAAGGACAGATGATGTTCATTTGACAGAGAGGGACTTGAGAAGGGGAGTGCAATAATGAGGAACACAGGGAATATTTACAAATAGTCACTTGCTGTATATGAATAATCTTTGGTGTGGGTACAAGGGAGACTGTACTAAATACTAATTGAAATTTTTTAGGTCTTTAGGCTGACTCTGGGCACACTGCCTAGGAGTTAGCCCTCCTTTACAAGGAGCAGCTATTAAAAAAAAAAAAAATCTTTAACTGAACCTGGTGATTTTTACTGAGCAGATGCATTTTCTTGTGGTGACATTCATCGTAAGAGGGTATACATTACTTGCAATCTAGACTCATTCCTTTGATGGCTTCTTCCTCCCTATGGCCCCTCCTCTGTGATGTCTCGCATCTTGTAGAGGAAATAAAAATGTCTGAAAGGCAGCAACCCACTGACCCTGCCTCAACAGCAAAAGCATTGCCCAGACTTTCTCCAGGGCATGCCCAGGCCTGAATCACTACCATGTCTATTTCTTCCTGTCACTGGCAGAGCAAGGACAGATACCCAGGACAAAAAAAGAAAAGGAAGGAAAGCATACCACAAAATAATCTTGTCATCTACAGTCTTTCCCCATTTAGGACTGTGACTGCAGTATTGTTTGCTATTAGCGTTGTTCATACTCTTTGACCCAGTATTTCTATTTCTAGAGTTTATCTTAAGAAAATAATCTGAGAATCACTCAAAGATTTTGGCATTTAAAATTGTTTCATGTCTGTAAGGGCAAGTGAGTATCTTTTCTACTGACACAGTAACCACCATGGCTAAAAGACTGGGACTGAACTCAGGCTGCATGCACTTGAATTCTGGCTCTCCCAATTGCCAGCTGAGTGATCTTGGGCAAGTCACTTCAATTCTCTAAGCTTCCATTTCCTCATCTGGAAAACAGGGATAATAATACCTCATAAGAACTTAATTAGGTAATACTATTATACTCAGTTATTAGAATGATTATATTCATATAATTATTATACTAATACTAATGAAGGTCCTAACATAATAGTAATATGTTAACTCTTACTAGGGTGATGAGTAATGATACATCCTCAGCTCATGGCCCAAAGCCTGGCATGCAATACTCAATAAAAATTGATTAAATAAATAAATATATGAACAAACAAATGAACAAGGAGACTTGTTACAGCATTATAAAGCTAAAATTTGTAAACCATGAAAACAACAGGGTAGTGGCTTAATATAGTGTGGTACATACAGTCAAAACTAAGTGTGTTTTAAAAGAATAACTAACGACCTAGAAAATGTCTTTATGTAATGTCAAAAGGGGACAGCATACAGTATATGTAGCATATCCTAAATGTGTAAAGTACTTACATGTATATGTATACATTAGGGGCAAAATAGAAGGAAATACACCAAAAGGCAATAATAGTTCTCTGTGAGTGATTAAATTATGGATTTTTTATTTTCTTCTTTACACATTCTTTAATTTTCTAGATTCTCTGCCATGAACTTAGTGTAATATCAATTTAAATACTTTTTTTACAATCTCATAATTAAGAACTTAGACTTTTTTAAGTAATCAAGTTTAACTTAAGATCTTATTTTAATAAATCATTTAGGATGGACCAATTAACACAACTAAATCTACTGCACTGACAGTCTCTTGAAGAAATCTCTGGCGTTTGTGAAAAGGCTCTACTAAATATCATCCAAAATTTGATTTTAAAGACACTCACTGTTGCTGCTAAGAGCCAACAGTTATCAACAATAGCCTTAATAACTAGAAATGTGAAAGTCTTAAGAGGCAAATATAATCTATGTTTAAAACATACTTATTTTCTCATTTAGTTTACAAGAGAATGTTGAAGTTGAAGAATCAACCTTTGGAAACTGTCATTTGCCCAGAATGATTAATTCTGGGTAATTTATGCCTGTCAAGTCACAAAGAACACTTTCATTTACCCTGCTTCCTTTGTGGTTCTGAAAGGGAGATCCTGTGTTACAGTTACTGTAAACTCTGTACTTCAGTATGGTCAGGAAATAGAGCAGTCTGATTAAGCAACTATTCTGACCAATTATTGTCTCTGCAGCATATTAATTACTACTTTTCAAAAAATTAGGCTGTCTTAAATTGCAATTAACACTGAAAGTCTACTGAAGGTTTCATAATTATTTGATAATTCAGAAGGCACCTCAGTGTTTCTCAGGGTGTCAAGTTCACCAGCATAACAATCATTTATCCTAGTAGGATGGATGAGGAGAGACGCTGGTTAATAGGAATTTTCAGTTGAGAAATGCAAGCAAGCCAGGTTTTACTATGTTTACAAGGTTGAATGAATGTCTATTGAGCTCTTTAAGCACCTTCTGAGAAAGACACTCTATTTGTGTGAGATGTTATAATTATTATTCTATAGAAATTCAATGGTAACATTCTATTTACAACAAAGAAAATTAGATTACAAGTTATCCTACAACTCTCCCTCCTCCCAGCGAAGATCACACACCGTATAGAGTTACAATGGTGCCAATTACAACAGCTTTTCATGCACTGTATGTTGCTTTTGCTTTTGATGATCTGAATGGATTGCATACCAAATAGCAGCTACTAGCAGCAATCAAAACAATTTGGGGGAAAATAGTTTTGTCTTCTGTGTTCACATAATGCTATTGATTTAATATTTGCTTCATTTCTTTCTTGGTACAGTAAGCAAGCATGTGGTGTCTCTCTGGGTCCCCATTCTGCCTTAAAGAAGGTGGGTGGCAAAGCCTGTGTATACCAGGCATTTTCCATCACTAGTTGCTAGAAGTCAATATCCATTCAAAAGAGTGTTTCATCCAATCCCCTCTACATATACATATTCTCTCTCTCTCTCTCTCTCTCTGTGTGTGTGTGTGTGTGTGTGTGTGTGTGTGTGTGTGTGTCTGCTTCTCTCAATTCCCAGTTTACAATTAAAGAATCAGAGGCACAGAGAGGTTATGTTTTTTGCCCAAGTTTACATGGCCATTATATTGGTAGAGCTGGGGCCAGATTCTAAATCTCTTGATGGATAGCACATACCCTTTCCATTGAGTCATTGCCCCAACACCATGTTGGACTGAGACTTTGACTGAAAAATGAACTCTTCTCTGAGTAAGGTGAAAAAAAAAAAAAGAAAGAAGGAAGGGAAAGACAGATGAAGGAAGAGAGAACTCAGCATCATGGATTTGGGGTACCACTCCCACATCACAGCCAAGTTTACCCCTCTTATATAACAATTTGAGGTCCCGGCACAGTGAGCCTAAGTTTCCTTATTTGAAACACTATAATGGGACTCCCTGGAAGAATCTTTGCACTATATCTTGAAACTGATGACCAGAGATTCTTTAATGAGCAAACAGATACACATAACCTTCCAACCCATTCCCTGGCTATCCTGGATGGGAAGGACACATTCTCTAATACGGGAAGGATTCAAGATTCAGCTCAGTCTAATCAGCTAATGGTCAGCACCAAAGGAGGTTAGGCTGTTGAAGGAGTTAAGCCATTCAATGTGATGCCAATTCCCTCCTAATCCATCCCTAAAGGGAACTTGTATTGTGACTTACAGGAGAGGCATAGCCTGGAGAAAATGAGCTGAGAGAAACTGGAGAAAATTGAAAACTTGCAATATTACAGCTGTGATAATAAACTAAAAGAATAAGCCACCCCCTCCTCAGTATGGGATTTGATGTAAGAGTCATTGTGCTGTGGCAAAGGACCTGGTTCACCATGGTGATAGTGGGAGTGCCTGGGCCAACACTAATGACAATGAGGAGACTGGTACTGTGTGACAACCACAAAACCCACAATGGCATCAAGGCTATGCCACCCCTTAGGAACCACAGCTCAAGAGTGGAGAGCCAGTGTTCACTTAGGCAGGAAGTGAAGCATCAATCTGGAGCCCCTGGAGCCCAGTAGGCAGCAGTGAGTAGGATCATAGCTAGACAGCAGGTAAGGAAGCATCCGAGCCAGGACTGTGCACTGCCAAGTGAGTAATGGTGGCTGCAGAGATCAAAGAGCATAAAGATCACAGGCAATGGAACAGAGAGAGGGCGCCAGCTGCTACAAAGCAGAGGTGCTGGAGGTATAGCGTTGAACAGTGAGCCAGCCTGGGTCCTCTATGGGAAACAGAGCCAGAAACCTAAAGGTCAAAAAAATCACCCAGAAGGGACTCGAGGCAAGTATCATTTTTACTTGCATTTCATTGCTTCCACCCCTTCTTGGACTGGTCCATCACCTAACTGGTGTAGCCTGTGTCAGTGGAAGTCCACATGAGAGACAGCTGGGACAAGTGCTGCACAGACTCTTGCCTCTGGCCAGATCCACCCCATCCCCTAAACTTTGGCTCAGTTCTCCCTATCCACCAAGGTCCAGATCTGCTCTGGTTTGATACTTGGTTAAAGAGTTCTAGACAAGGTCAACCCTTTGTCACCATTGATAGAGGGCTCTAGCAGTCTTGCAATCAATATAGGTCAAAAATGACTCAAGTCAGACCAAATCTAAACACCTGAGGGTATTGGGGAGTGAGCAAGGCTAATCCTGCACCAGCCTGAAAAGGAGAGGCAGTTTCCATCCAATCACATACCTCCATGAGTTCTATAGCAGCCACATACTTAAACCAAAGCTTTTTCTTTTATGCCATTTCTATTTTCTCATTCTTCAGGGCCTCTCAATTCTCCATGGACAGAGGTGTGTTTCAGTCATCTTCCAGAGCCAAGCAGAACAAGTCATGGTCTGGAATCAACAGGTCTATTTTTCTCCATGTTTCATTTCTGTAGTATAATAACAGTAACAATAGCCAGCATGTTACTGTTTGGGAGGCAGTGTGCTAAGC